CTAAAATGCGCTCTATGCCAACCCGCGATGGTAGGTTTTAGCTTGGTGCTTGTATTAGTGTTGTAAGGTAATTAAGGGTCATTTGGTATTAATTTCGTGATGTAAGTGCGATTTCATTAGTTTTAAGTATAAATTAATTCTGGATTAAAATCACTACACTCGTTAACCTGGTGGATTGAAGTGTTTCAATCCATCAGGGGGCGTAGTGTGAGTTTACGTCAAACGCATTCAATGTCGACTGCGTAAAAAAGTGACATTAAATGTATGGCGGATTGTACAGCGCCCCTAGCGGAAACTTCCAAGAACTAAAAAGCGCTCTCTAGTGACGACGATTGATGTAAACTCACGAAGCCCTCAGGTTAAATAGGGAAAAAATCTATGTTTAAAATAAAGCTCTGCGTTGTATAATATGAAATATCTTATTTATATTTATTGGCATATTATAAGTCTTATCTGAGTCAGTGCCTGAGGTGTTTTTGTCACACGTCAGCGAGACTTTTTTTTATTATTTAGTGGCAACCAAACCTCTCTGGGAGGTTTATTTCTGCCAATGTCGAGTGAAAAATTGACATAACAATAGAACGTGGGTGTTTCAGTTCTATTGATTTTTCATGGATTCCGTGGAGTTAAGTATGCCCGTAAGCAGGTTTCAAGACGCCACCGGGTCCAAAGCGGGTTGTTCAGACGATAACCCACTCGACACTCGATGCGCGCTCAAATTCGAATTGTTTCAATGATTTTTTATAATTTATCACTTCACTGCACTTTAGAACACAAAATAACACCAAATTTGTACACTAAAGTCCATTAAATAATAAATTGAAACCATTAAACAGATCGACCATGCTTCCCGTTCAGCTACCCTCCACGGAATCCCATCAGCGAGAACGCTTGCCTCTCTAACTGACGTAACTGACATTTTGCAAAATTTTTAGGCGATTAGACATATCGATTCGTCTTGCAAAATTGATTAAGATGGCGTAGATAACTCAGTTTCGAAAAAAAATTCAGATACGTCAGTTAGAGAGGCAAGCGACGATAATCGGTTAACCACATAAGCGTTATACGTTATTACTTGTTGCTTTTACTGTGGGTTGTCGAATTTTAATACGAGTAATGAATGAAAGGAAATGTATATTAACCTAATTTTTTGCGCATTATTGTGAGTTTCCTCTTCTAATGAACTGCTACAGTTAATCCAATGGATTGAACATTTTTATCAATTTTTTAGGGTAAGGTAGGGGTTCAAAAGGAAAAAACGGAACCCTTATAAGATCATTTTGTTTTATTTTGGGTCATTCTCTCTGCTGTTATTATAGTAGTAAGGTTCTAGCCTTTAGTAGTAGAAGGAAATGAAACGTCAATAGTTACAGTAAATAACTGATTTGTGGGATCGTGGGTAGTTAATGAAAGAAAAGTTAGTTTTGATGGATTATATTAGAGGGTGCGTAATTTTAATTAGTTTTAGGGTTTTATCTTTTATTAATTTGAAGGATATATTTTTTTATTTAATATATTTATATTGCATGATATCTCAATATTATAATAATTATGCAAATTGAATTACTTATTCAAATATTAGCTTGAAGTGAAATTGATCAATCGATCTGAAACATACATTATTTTGGTTGTTTTCAGTGATTGAAATTTGAGAATATAATATTTATAATTATATTACTTTATATTTATTGAATTATATTCGAGGTTCAAATATCCAAAGAATCAGTTTTAGTCTTAAAATACATTTTAATCATACTATTTTTGTACGCGACTTGTAAAAGTAATAATTGCTATTTATTTAATTAATGCCTTTTATAGGCATACGAGTATGTAGGGGTTAAATTACCTGCTCTAAATTACATTTTATGTTATTGTAAGGTATATTTCTGTAAACCATATTATTTATTGTTAATCTTTGTAATCAATTAATTTGTAAGTTTGTAATCAATCACAACTAATTTGTATTCTTAAAAATGCGTTTATCTTGGTTGTAACGCTGCTTATTTTATATTGGACTAATGTATTTTATTTAAAATCAATAGTCCAGAAAGTATGCTGTAAGTACTTAGTATTATGGCTTGAAAAAGAAATGTAGTCTGTGATAGGTTTATATCGGAGCTGTGATGCGTATGGTCAAACCACGCCCACTTTGGGTACAATCGGCAAAATATTTATCTACAATCTTTTATTTTAACGAAGAAAAAACTGTTTCTTTTTTAATTTAGCTATTTGACACTTACTTTGTTTTGTTCCAGAAGTGAAATAATGTTATTTTTATTATACTACATACTTGGTTCCATATTTCGATCTTATTCTTTCAAACTTGAGTAATATTGACGTATAATTTACCGTTATTTCATTTACAAATGGTTTTTATTTTGTCGACTGTACCTACTTAAGTCTTGGGTTGTTATCGAGATTGTTAGCGGGTACGTAATTTTATATTTTGCATGAAGATTGTTGGATTTTACTGTCAAGTTTTGACATAATTTTAAGCTGTAAAACAGTTTTTTAGCTGATGCTGTTTTTTTACTTTTGTGGCCTTATAAAAAATGTACTTTATTTCTGGCGCGTAATTGAGTCAGTCCTGAAGTGTGGTACGCTAGGGTGTATTTGTGACGTCAAATATCAGCAAGACTTCAGATGTGCTTCAGACTTATTATGCTCTGTGACGTCACCATTCCCGTACCGCTCTCATACTCCAGGCACTGACTTAAAGGTTACTCCAAAATGCTGTTTACTTAGTTTCGGATCTACCTGTCACTGTCGCTCATACTGGCATCTTGCTTTGCGTAAGAGGGATGGTGACATTCGAAACTTCGGACAAGGTTTTTCGGAGTAACCCCGCTGTAGTTTGATGGCTCTTTGATTCAACTACACACCTGTCCATAGTGGTTAGCGGAGCGTGTGATATGTATGTGTGATTAAGTCACTTCGAAATACCTACTTGATTCTTTCTTGCACAAACCTTTGCTTCACTATATTTTAATTTATAATAATTTCTTATTTTTCTTTGCTGAATATAAACGTCTAAATTCGATATATCTTTCTTATTTTTAAAATATTTGTAACTTCTAGTAAAATATAAGTAAGATTATGTTGCACTATTCAACCATTGTTTTGTAAAAGTACAGTCAGCTACATGAATAAGTTAGTTACATTTTGTAATATGATGGACTGTTTTTGTAAATTCTTGCACGCGTTTCTATCTATTATTATATTATTTCACGATAGGAAAAACCGAATAAGCGAGGTCCTAGTGATTACTTCAATTTTATTCTAATTTAAAGTATTGACTAAAGAAAAATAAAAATAAGCTTTGATAATGAAAACTTCACAATTGCATCATCTAGTGATATCGTTTACACTTTTATGTGTAATTAAGAACTAGGTCTTCAATCATGATTACATAGAAATTGGAAATTCGCATCTGCAACAGTAGTGATAAGATTTAAATTCGCGTTGAAAATGACTAGACCCGTATTATAAAATGTCGCTCATAAACTCAACACTCAAGAATAGATTGTAATTTGTGAGTTTGCCCGTTTTCACCATCAATCCCTAATTTTTAAGTGACCCTTAAGGTACACCAGGAATTTTGTTTTCATAGGGGTCACTTAAAAATTAGGGATTGATGGTCAAAATGGGCATCAAGATTCGTTTTATTATACGAACTTAAATATTTCTATTGAGTCATGATTGAAAAGTATAGACGACAGCACGTCAAACTAAACATGGTCTTATGTGATTGTAATAAAGGCTATTTCACAACAATATTTAAAGTGTAACGTGCTATCGAATGTACATTAATTAGCTAAACGATTCTCCTAAGAATTTGAAGTACAAATATCATCATTATTGTCTTCACTACACCTAACAGAGTTAATTTAAAATTATTTGTCTGTCTCTATCTTCGCATAATGGAAATCTGTATTTTCTTATTATATTTTAAAATGGATTAATATAATGATCTCACTCGAGCACTCATCCAAAAGCAGGGTCACAATAAAATAACATTTGCTTCAATTACTAGTGTTATTAAAGGAGGAGGTTTCAGTACGTTCAAAGTAGGTAGATGTCACGTTCATAGCGAAACGCATTGCACTCCTGAAGTAATTTTCATAGCAATCTTTCACCGAGTAATAACGTTCAGTAGCGCCAACTGGTGAGCATTAAGCGCAAATACGAGAGCCATAAGCTCTAAACCTCTCTATTCGGTTTAAAATTATTTATAAATAAAACAGTTATTAAATTAAATACTATAAATAAGACCGGAAAGTAAAGAAAGAAACTTGATATTTCTATGAACTTATTACCTCTATTTATGTATTTATAAGTACATAAAGTTTTTCAGGAGTCGATGCGGTCAAAATCTTGCACTTAGTATCGGGTAACTACCCTCATAGTTGTAGTTCTGAACGTACTGAAACCTACTCTGTAAGCGAATAGATCTTTTAGCTTAGGCATTCTAGTGATCCTAGTGCATAATTAAAATAATTGTAATTTGCCAATCTTCACTGTCAGTATGACGATCTGCCATTTTTTACGTACCCATAGATTTTAATAAATGTATTAAATGTATGTGTAATGATATCCGTTTTATTTATAGACAAACCTAACGTCTTCCTAACACAACTACTGCAGCTATCAAAAGTAGTTAGTAGCTAGTAAAATATTCCTATTATTTAAAAGTTTATTTGCCAAAATAAAATAATACAATAATAATATTTAAAGATAACTACTTAATTATTTACTTTAATGAAGTATGTAGGTACTATCGCCAACAGTGTTAACTGCCCATTGAAAGTCATGTCATCTCGTTCTATCGCAAAGAATCGCCATTTGATTAGAGTGAGAGCAAAAACGGAAATGGATAGTTAACAGTGTGGGCGTGTGTACATACCTATTCTTTTGATTTGGCTAGTATTTTTTTATACGTAACTTATTTAAACTGCATCTCAAAAATATAGGTAGGTATGTTAATCAAAGATTCGAAGAGATGATGGTAAAGATATTTATTCCATTTACATAACTGCATTCTGTTATTGAAAGATTTTACAGTAATTACTTAACATTAACTTAAAATTAGGTATTTTGTCAAATGTTGTCAACACTTGGCTTTTAAAAATCTATTTTTATTGCTAATTAAAACAAGTTCACATTATCAGAAAAGTAACATCTTTTTACTGGGTTATTAGTGTTTTTAGTGTCTATGAAGTAAAACTGGTCAATTTGATCACCTGGGTGATCAAAGTAGACTTCAGGCGACATTTTGGTGTCCTTTGATCACCCATTGATAAGATCACCTAGGTGATCAAAGTGGACTATTTATCACAACACTAGGTGATCAAAGGACACCAGTGTCACTTGGAGTCCACTAGAATATACCAAATATAGAAAAGACCAAAACTGTCAGTAAACTTGCCCAAATTAACACTTATCTTCTAGCTTAAAATTACAATGGATGTCCTAACAGTTTGATTTCACTTTTGACTTCATCATACAAGTCCTTGTATTCTTCGTGCTCTTTTACGAGAACCATGATGCAACCACGCATGGTTCCCATGGCGGCTCCGATGTCCTTCCGGCTTGGAGTGTAGCAGTATGGAACGTCTTTCTCTTCACACACACCGGGCAGGTGGCACATTATTTCTATGGGTGAGATGTCGCCAGCAAAGAAGACGATCCTGAAAAAGAAAATAACAATAATAAGATGGTGTTACCAAACCAAGAGATGAGAGGATGATCTTTGTCTTGCAGTCACACTGGGACCATATTGGACAAAGGTTGCAGCAGAAAGAATTGAAAGAAAAATAATTTAAATAGAAGAATGATGATTAATGATTGTACATCTTGCTGATATATTGTTTACATACAAGAAATTGTAAACAATTATACTTTAGACATTTTTATAGGGTTTTTATTTGAATTTGAGAACAATATAGCTCACACATAAACCTATGCAGTTACAACAATAGATAAATACAGTGCTATAACCTCAAAATGTTGAAACAAAAAATAAAGTTATTTACCCTTTCTCTCCTAGCCTGAGCTGTTTCTGTACGATTTTTAATCCGTTTCTGATGTAGTTCTTGTGGCCGCTTGATTTTTTGATTAGTTTGTAGATCTTTTTGCTAAGTTTCTTCGGCGCCATAGGCTTGGCGATCACACTGCAGTGGCCGACTTTGTCTTCGTAGTTTTGAGGCTCGCTTTTGATGGAGACATCGCCTTGCTCATCCTGGTCTACAGGCTCTTGTTTCACTTTACCCATTTCAATTTATTTGTTGTATTATTTATTTCCCACGTGTGAACACCAACCAAAGCAACAACCGCAGCGTGCGCGTGCGTGCGTGATTTCAAATTGACACATGTCAAAAATTGACGTTTACCGTTCAGGAACAAAAAAAAAAACAATACTTAAGGTAATAAAATAACGTTAATGTTATTTAAATATGAAAAATCTTTTGATGAACACTAAATCACCGATAATCACGAATGTGATGTATCGCGTAATGAAAGTTGAGGTAAACACACTGATGTAATATTTGACTAAAGAAAACAAATCAATAAAGACCAAGACCATGGATTTAACTATTTTCCTTTGAAAACTCAACCAGTTTTGCTTTGTGAACATGTGAAGCAACAAAGATTCAAAGAATGGTGATATTATTGATTGTTGGCTTATAACAAAATAATTATATTTAATACCGGTAATTTTTATTTCTGAACGAATTTAATTTCATTGCACTTTATTTTAGAAAAAATAACTAATGCAGTGTTGCCAGAAGGTTACTTTTGTAACCTTTTTGGTTACTTTTGAACTGCTGTGGTTACTTTTAGGTTACACTAATGAAAAGGTTACTTTTAGGTGATTTTTCAGAAATTGTAGAATTAACTTTACAGGTTATTCAGTAAAAAATATTAATAGTGACAATTTAAAAATTATGTCATAAAGTGCATTTAAACTTGAATTTTATTTATTATTTGTTAAGAAAAATTAGTTTTAGCGAATGTTTTTCGATAATAAAACGCAAATCCATGAAACGTTTTTATACGACTGGTCACTTTTCGTATTTAGATGATCCCCCCCGTATAAAGGTTACTTTTTGTTCAAAAAGGTTACTTTTTTTTATATTTCTGGTAATTTCTGACTAGACCCGACTGGCAACACTGAACTAATGTCAATCCGTTGCCATGGAAACAGAGTCATGTCAACAATTTGATTCGATAAAATCACGCTAATCGAAAAGAAATAATTCAATTATGCAGCTAGATTTAGCGTATTAAAACAGAAATTATCTTCAAGTGTAATCACACCTCCAACTATAGCGAAAATGGTATGTTATCCCTTTATTTTTGTCACTGAAAACCATATTCTTCCGTGTAACTTTGGTGACCGTAAATCTTGAATTTTTCAGGGCTTACTTAGTATTTTGAAGAAGCTGCGCTCTAGCCCGGATAAGGAACTTCGTTTGCTTCTCCTCGGGCTAGATAATGCCGGTAAAACTACGCTCTTGAAGCAGCTGGCATCAGAAGACGTTAGCCATGTGACTCCGACAGCAGGTTTCAACATAAAATCTGTTCTGTCCAGTGGATTCAAGCTGAATGTGTGGGATATCGGCGGGCAGAGAAAGATTAGGCCGTACTGGAGGAATTACTTTGAAAATACTGATATTTTGGTACGAAAAAATACCTAAAATTAAGTACTTTTTTAAATCTCTTAGTATCACTCATATAATATGAGTTTTTAATTAGTCTTATTTTATTTACATAACATTCTTTCCTCATACAGCTCCTAGAATACCAATATACACATTAAGTCATTAGACGTTAAATTAGTAATTGTATAAAAGTGCCAAATAAATATGCACATTTTTACTTTGTTTCAGATCTACGTAGTGGATTGTTCTGACCACCAGCGTTTGGAAGAGACTAGCACGGAGCTAGCAGAACTTCTCCAAGATGACAAGCTACGTGCGGTCCCGTTGTTGGTGTACGCCAATAAACAAGACTTGTCTTCAGGTAACTTAACTTTATAAATAAATAAATAAAATAAAACATTGATTGATACATAAATTGCCAATATTTTTGCCTAGTTAGGTAATAAGATTTTAAAGATTACAACAAGTCAGTTAGACACACATAGTCACCCAGTACAAAAAGAAGACCTATCGAGTAGTTTATTCAGAATAATTAATTTGATAGAACAGCATGACATTTTAACCCCCAATGCAGGGGAACTAAATTTGTAACTGCACTGCGGGATGAAAAACTTTGGAAACCCCTGCCCCAATGCAAAGAAAAAGAAATAAGTGTAACTGCTATGTGCCTATCTATCCAAAACCCACTCTGTACTTCTAGGAATCTACCAATTATTAAAATGTATAATTATTTAATAAAATAGATTTCGTAGAGTGGACATGGTGACCTGTAATACAGATTTTCTTAAAATCTACAATAGGCACCAGCTCTCACAATGCTGGTCTAATAGTTAAACTGATATATTTTTATTATACGAAATGTTTTTCCTAATCTGTTGTGAGAGAAATAAATAAATAAATTATTATATTATTACTTGCGCTCTACTGGGAGGATTATTATCTGAGTTGAAAGTTTTGTACATGCCTTTTGTGTAGTGCAAAATGTTTAAATGTGGTTTCATCAACACATTGTTTTATTTCAGCTTTGCCTGCGAGCGAGGTGGCTCAGCATCTTGGCCTTCACCTGATCAGAGATCGGACTTGGCAGATACAGGCATGTGTCGCCACTGATGGTACTGGTGTGAAGGTACTTTAATCAAATCATCAGTTTTTCAGGCTTGTTAGTTTCTAGTCATCATCATCATCATCATCATCTCAGCCATAGGACGTCCACGAACATTGGCCTCCCCCAATGCTTTCCATGTTACCTGGTTGGTAGCGGCCTGCGTCCAGCGCTTTCCTGCTACCTTTATGATGTCATCGGTCCACCTTGTTGGTGGACGTCCCACGCTGCGTTTTCCGGTACGCGGCCTCCACTCCAGAACCTTGCTGCCCCATCGGCCGTCAGTTCTGCGTACTATATGCCCTGCCCATTACCACTTCAGCTTGCTAATCCGTCGGGCTATGTCAGCGACTTTAGTTCGTTTACGGATCTCCTCATTTCTGATTCGGTCTCGTAAAGAAACACCGAGCATAGCCCTCTCCATAGCACGCTGTGCAACTTTGAGCTTCTGTATAAGGCCTATAGTGAGAGGCCACGTTTCCGAACCATAAGTCATCACTGGTAACACAGTTTCTAGTGCGTAGATATAATTTAGATTAAAGAAGCACAACTGGACAACTCTATTGTTACTAAGCATTCAAAACTATAGCAACAGAGGAAATCTTTAAACAGCAAATCTCAAGTTTGCCAGAATTGGTTAACTTGGTTTTAGCTGAATAAAAATACCTATCAATCAGTATTTTTTCTCCATTTTAAGTATTCTAAGGAATTATTTTCTTTTGCATTTGGTGGTAGGAACACTTGCTATCTAAGAAAACTAAAAAAATAATTAATTATGAGAGAAAGTTATGAAAGATAAATAACAGATTTGCAATCGATTATTTACAATAGCATTTGTGACTTATTAAGTTTTTCTTTTACAGGAAGGAATGGAGTGGGTATGCAAGAACATTCCTGTTAAAAAGTAACTTTACGAAGTATTAATACAACCCGATTGAGCTAACTGCGCAACTCACTGGAATGAGGTCCTACTTACCAGTACACCTACCCGCGTTCGCCCCGTCCGTACCAGAGCGTCAATGTGACGTCACGGGTGTTAGGTGCGCAGTTAACTTGCCGGATTGTTAAAGTCCCTCCAAAAAATCATGTATTTAAATCTATTACCTCATAGTTAATGTTGACGCTTCAATGTGCTTCAATTTGATCAAAATCCCAACTTAATATTATAAATGCGAAAGTAACTCTGTCTGTCTGTCTGTCTGTCTGTCTGTCTGTCTGTCTGTTACGCTTTCCCGCTTAAACCTCGCAACCGATTTTGATGAAATTTGGCATAGAGATAGTTTGAGTCCCGGGAAAGAACATAGGATAGTTTTTATCCCGGTTTTTGAAACAGGGACGCGCGCGATAAAGTTTTTCTGTGACAGACAAAATCCCACGCGGGCGAAGCCGCGGGCGGAAAGCTAGTATAGGTATATTTTTAAATGGTAAGTATACCTACTTATATAATTTTAATATACTATTAATTGTTTGAACAAATGCAATGATTATACTTGTTCTATTTAAAACTTATATCTTGCACTAAATCATCATTAAGGTTTCCAATAATCCATGATGTTACAATCTTATCTTTCTTATCTTTAATTATATTATTTAGTAGGTATTTAGACCAGGTGTAAATATCTAAAACGTGCAGTATTTTGATAACGAAATGATATAATAAATCCGTCCATTTGCTTTGTTGATGTCTCAAATATTATTATTACAAAAATAATGTAGTATGATAGTGGTTATAAAAATTATTATACCTTTAAATATTAATAAATGAGACGATTTACTGAATGTAATTAGCTAGTCATTATAAAATTGACCAAAAATTAATTAATAATTATGTTCTTATTATTAGTTTTAGTAATTTAGGTGCGTTTATTATTATTATTTGTGGACTTATATTAGTTAATATTGTTTAGTTTTAGTTGTTTGGTTGTCAGTTACATCCAATGATAAAAATAAAACTATAATAATAATGTCAAGTCTTTTATTTAATAATTAAATTATACACTTATTACAGTAATTATATGATAGGACGGATTTTTAATAAATATTTACATAGGTTCACAACCAAATAATTTTATGGAGGAAGAATAATCATTTAATTGAAAAATGAAAGAATGTTATTATTCCATTATGTTTGAGACATTTTTGATGATAATATAAAAAGCACTTAAGTAAGCGAGTAAAATAGAAGTTAGACATTGTTTTAGTTGAAAAAGTATTAGTTAAGTATTTATGGGTAAAGTCTAACACCAATTGAACCAAATTAAATTTTTTTTTTTAGTATCATGTCACAATCGCGAAAGTTTTTTTCGAAAAAGTTAGTTGAAAATAAAATATTATTTTTAATTAGTAATTGTTAGGAAGTGTAGAAGTTAAGATTCAAAAAATATATTGCATATTTGCAATAAGTCATTTAGCACCAATATCCAGCAAAACTAATTTTAAAATTATCTAAACTACACGTACTATTGGTCACAAAATATTATTCTCGCATTAAAAAAAATCTTTATTTTTATTTACTAAGTACAAAATAAGATGAAAAATATATTGTGACGCTTCATAAAAACTAAGAATACTTTCAATTCAATTCAAAATAAGTGCTATACTTTTTTTGTATTTTACAATTAAAATAGACCCTAAACATTTTTAATTTATTGCTAAATAAACTTTTAAACAAATATAGTATAGGTAACTAAAATAAACAAGTTTAATTATAAATTATATTTTCATTTATGCAGCAATCAACACCCAGTGGACGTGTACTTAAACTTTTTATTATAATAATTATGTTAAATTATATTAATAATGTAATTATTTTATTCAGATAGGAACCTAATACTAAAATAAATGCTTTGATTTATACAAATAACATTATTATTGTGGTTTACTTAAATTTGAATATGAACGGTGAAAAACTAGCTAAGGTTTTTTTATAATTCACTATGGTATACTTCTGTAGTCACTTTTAGTTCGTGTTCGTGGAAGGCAGAACAGTCTGCAGGATACGCGGCCTGAAAGACAAAAAATATAATTTAGCTACGCAAACTTATTTTATTTTTTATTAAGGTCTTTTTTCCTTACCGAGATGTTCAAAACATTGTAACTTACAAGATAAATTATTAGAAGGAAAACGTGAAAATTGGAATTAGATCTAAATTAATATTTTTATGAAGATAAACAATCATCAAAATAAAGAATAGTCATTTGATTATGAAATGGTTGGTTGGAATTTCAATTTTAGCTGGAATGATTTCGGCTGAAAATATTGTTTCAATCGATCATAATTATTAAGAAGGTATATTCAGCATTGATAATGACGATAAATTATGACCCTTTTACAAACATAGCTACTTAGTTATAATTTTTGATTGTGTTTGGATTGTGGACATTAAGACAGAATAAAGGTAAAAAATATGGTGAAAACTCTATCTCCTTGGCCTTACAGAGGGTTAATAAGAGCGAATTCTCACCTCGCAGTTGACGTCATTCTGTATAGCGTTGTACAGGTCCCAGAAACCTTTCCCGTTCTGGAAGCTCAGGGCAGCAGACGCGGCCAGACTGCTCAGCTTGGTCAAGCCAGCCTTGAATCCTGGGAGATCTGTAATAAGATTGTAAAGGTGGGGTTAGAGGTGCTATTAGGGCTCATCATAAAGAGTTCGTTTCAGCCAAAATGACGTCCACTAGATAAAGGCATCTCCCAATCAGGAATTTCCACACAATGATCGGTCCTGCGCTGCCCGCATCTAGGTGATTCCCGCGACCTTCATCAGATCGTCACCAGATGGTTCACCTGGGGGGAGGCCAGCTCTCGTCTTACCCGTCCTTGATCGCTACTCGAGAACTTTTCTGCCCCAACGGTCATCAGTTCTACCAGCTACGAGTATGTACTTGTACGCCCCGCTCACTGCCACTTACGTTTGGAAATTCTGTTGGCTGTGTATGTATTTACATACTAAGTAGTTTGGTTTTGGTTTTCCTGCGGTTCTCAAAATCGCCTAAAGAGTTTAGTGTCTACATTGGTGCGATTAACATCATAGCCATTATCTTCGATGGCAGTCGCCCTGTAATCATGGTTTTGGAAACAATTACGCCCGTATTCACAAACATTACTATACGATCTCACAGTGCGCGTGGACTCACAGGGTGACACGCAAACCAATCACAGAGCTCTATTCAACGCTGTGCGTTCGATTTGCTGCTTCATTTAAGCAAGGATTGTTTGTGAATACGGGCGTTAATTTCTGTTACCTTCTTAGAGTAGGCGCACACCGTTGATTTTTCGTCGGCCGATAGTTTAGTCGGGCAGTTGATCAGTATGGGCATGTATGGGAGTGCGCACACTACGCCGATTCGATTTGGCCGATTTTTCATACAATTTAAAATCGGGCACAACTATCGGCCAACTAAAAATCAACGGTGTGCGCTTACTCTTAGGTATGACTAATATACCTCGTTTCTCCTTATCATGGTGCCTATTAACCAAGCACATGAGGTGTTCCTGGCAATGCGGCGCCTGGACTGAGTGCTTGTACGCCCGGTAGACCCTCAGCACCGGTTCTATGACCTCCAAGTTGAGGGTGTCAGTTATGCGATCAGCCAGCGCGTTGTAGTCGCCGCGGGAAGCGATGTTCTTTGTGGTTGTCTCCGCCATTTTGAGGGTTTGCTGGGGACAAGATGGCGGACATGGTAAGTAGGTACATAGTTATAAAAAAATAAGTTTGTTAACGCAAAAACAGTGTTTTTCTCTGTGTGCCTGTATTTGGCTTCTAAACGCAGGATTACATGCGGTTTTTTTGTTAGTAGAAAGCGTCAGCGAGATCGTTTTTAGCTTTAATTTATGAATACTCAGTCGTTTGAAGATCATCAGCTCATTTCTAGTTGATATACGAGAGAAATATCCTCCTTTACTTTTAAGTATGTTTTATCTTTCAAAGAAGAATGGAAAACAAGCACTGTTCTACAATGCTACGCTACAAGATCAAGCGATGTTCTTTCAATTTTCTTTCATCACCGCTATTTATTGCCTTTATTCAGAACTCCATTGAAACTCACCCTCATATATTCCATCGCGGACTTCACGTATCCCGACACGTCCGTGTCCATGTCCATATATTTCTTCAGCCCGTAGTTGATGAGTTTGGTCAGAGACGACTCTGGTCTTGTCATGTCGAAGTGGATGTTCTTGGGGAGGCCTTGGGCGTCCAGAAAACTGTTGAGGATGTACTGCCCGGAGCCGAGGTATCTGAAAAGGTATAAGATGTAATAAGTGTAGTCGTTACAGCCAAATAACGTCCACTGCTTGGACAAAGGCCTCCCCCAAAGGATTTTCAGGTCGCGACGATTTCCACAACGTCCAGTATGGCGCCGTTTGTGGTAAGCCTAGGCGCAGACCACCGTCTTTTACTTGGCCGATAGATGGGTCGGGTTGTTAATCAGTATGGAGATGTATGAAAGTGCGCACATTACACCGATTTGGTATCGGCCGATTCGACAAATTAATCGGGTGGTCTGCGCCTAGGCCAAGTGTAGAATGAACCTTAATTTGCTTCTTCAGTGCAACTATCATAATCATAAAATATAGTCCATTGCAGGAGGACGACGACCCTCTCTAATTTACCAGTGGCAAATGGAGGATTTCGCATAAATTAAATATTTCTCCTTTATGTATCATAATCATAAAATATATCTAGTCCATTGCAGGAGGACGACGACCCTCTCTAATTTACCAGTGGCAAATGAAGGATTTCGCATAAATTAAATATTTCACCTTTATGTAAGTAAATAATAATTCATTACGTAATTTAATCCTTTCAAAATGAAATTCTCTGCTATTTTCATTGCTTTGTTAAACTAAACGCGTTAGTTGAACTCCGATGTTATTTCAGTTCAAATGTTCGTTATTATCACAAACAATATAAACATAAGTGGATTTGGTTCATGCTGGCACCGCAAAATGTGTTTTCATCCATATGCAATTTTATGCACGTATAGGTATTACATAATTTGTGTCACAGCAATGCCGTCTATGTAGTTTCTAGACAGGCTGTGCTGAACTGTGATATTACGTACAGAATAGTTGATATTTATCATTCATTCAATTTATTTATTCTTTATTGCCATATGAAATGGCACATAAGACGAGCTAAACGCCATAAGACATTCTCTGCCTGTTATCTTTCGGGCTAAACAATATTGATATCAACTTAGGTATTTTGGTCTAGTCAATACCTAATTAATCGTCATATCGTTCAATGAGACCTAGAAAAGATACGTTATTGTTTGCTGGCCCAATTAGACGGCTCAGTGCGGAAAATCAGCCCCGAATAACTAACAACAATAACAACTAACTGCGTCATTATTTTCAGTACGTGATTTTGTGTTGAACATGACACAAATCAAAATAATGAATACAAATGTTTTTATTGCTTAAAAAAGTTCTTACATAATAAATTAAATTCTTACATAATAAGGTATCTATATACCTACATAATATTATTGTAAAAGTACCTAGCAGGAAGGCGCTGGACGCAGGCCGCTACCAACCAGGCAACATGGAAAGCATTGGGGGAGGCCTATGTACAGCAGTGGACGTCCTATGGCTGAGATGATGATGATTATGATGATGAAATTAACATAGACCCATATTTTACATACGACATTATTTATTTTATTCTCTGCAGCCTGTCTAGTAGTGTACTAGAACTCTATGGTTCCAGCATGGCTGTGTGCGGGCGATAACGCCACACGAACATATTTTGCGATCCCACAATGTATGATGGCATTGTTAGTTATGTTACGTGAAAATATGTTTCTGTTTCTAAACTAGAAACTGCATTGGTATTGTGCAGCTGGACATAGGATGAAAATTCTACCTCTGGTAGACTCGGGTAAACTAGGTCGAGATATTTACGGGAAAATTATAAGAGGCGACTAAGCGAGAAATATTACATTTATTCTAAACATCAGGTCGCCTCAACCCGCTTGGCCGGCTTGGGATTCATCATCATCATCATCATCTCAGCCATAGGACGTCCACTGCTGAACATAGGCCTCACGCAATGCTTTCCATGTTACCCGCGTCCAGCGCTTTCCTGCTACCTTTATGATGTCGTTGGTCCACCTTGTTTGTGGACCTCCCACGCTGCGTTTTCCGGTACGCGGCTTGGGTTTGTAGCAGGACAAATCATCCATTTGCCTCATAAAATTGTGTAAGGTACTACAGTCAGCATCAAATAGTATTGTGATGTGACATCCAAAGTGGTCAAAAAGTTGACAATACAACCTTATTTCAATATAACAAAGACGTGTTGCGAACTTTATGGCTGCCTTTGGGTGTCACGAAAAATCTACACCTGGATCACTTGGGAGAAATAAGTAGGTGTACCTACCAAGGGCAATGACTGGCATGTTTTACATAATACAACATTTCATAAGAGGCGAACAAGGGAAAAACCTTAACATCAAGCCGCCTCCTCAACCCTTCCGGCCAGTCCAGTTGGTATGGGGACTCAGTGTGGACCAAATCCTCCATTAGTCGAAAAAAATTATGTTTTATTAGTAAACAAAAACTCACCTCTGATAAACCTCAGGCTTCGCCATCTGCATGACAGTATCCGTCAGGTACTTCGCTGCAGCCTTGATCCAGTGTCTCCTGAACGAGTGGTTCTCAAAGTTCTTGAACATCACCTCAAAACTGATCTTGCCATCAGGGCCAGTGAACGCCTTCATGGCTCTCTTCATCCCAGACTTCTCCCATAGAGACTTGCCCAGCTCCGAATTGATGAAGAGGTCCCAGTACAAATGCGCCTTTTCCACGAAAGGCGGTAGGAAAGACGCATGGTCTTTGTGCTCTTCAGCCCGTTTCTTCGTTTCTGGCTCCGAGAAGGAATTTAGTGTGTTCATGATAATGGGCATGATACCAGCTCCTCCTCCTCCGTTCTGGCTGCCTAATAACCCTGAGGCTAGGCTAAGCATTCCTTCTAGATTGAAGTCTTCGTCCTTGTTCTGCCGTTTTTGTCTGGTCGCCTTGGGTTCTTCGCTGTTGCCCATCTGTTGGGCGAACATTGATATCATAGAGCCTACTAGAGCTGGGTCGATTTTGCCGTCCTGACCTCCGAATAGACTGCCGAGTCCTGTAAAGGTATTTTTTTAATACACATTTTATAATGCAAACGGTTTGGGACTGGAATTTGCTGCCTATTGTCTTTCCCGAACACTATAATCCGGGCTTTTCAAGGCGAGAGTGAATAGGCACATACAGGGCAGATGTACCATTCTAGACTGCATCTCACCTAACATCAGGTATTATTACGGTCAAATATCTGCCTTGTTCTGTATAAAAGAATCAGGATATATTGGAAAATTCACTTTTTGTGCTTTTAAATAAGTAATTTCATAGTCTACTTAATCGCGTCAGTTAAATTTTAATTTATAAGATAGGTTATTTATTTTAAGCAGTCCTTTACAACGTCACATTTTCCAAATTGCAACTTCGTTAGCGAAATGCAAAATTTAATTGCGCATACTTTATGGTTCACTTAAAATTCAAATCCGTCGATTATGGTCATTTGTTCGCCAATTAAAAGGGATTCAAAGCCATTCCTGCAGTCGGATTATAATGCCGTTTCTGCTAGTCAACTATCGGGCTTAAGGGAACCGTTATAATGCTCACGGATCTCTAAAAGACAAAGGTTCCGGGATGGGCGATTAAAACTTTAACGGCAGTATTATTGCCCGTAAACCAGACGGGACCATACTAAACTCAAGAGATAGTAAATACTTCTAAGATTAATTAAATGCCTTTAAAAATACCGAGATACTTTTTGTTTACAATGTTGTAGAATTAAAATTTCAGCATCGTATAGCAAAGGTCCGCCGTAGACAAGGCACGAAAGCATATCTGAAGTCTCGCTGACATTTTTTTTATCCACAACGAGGAAGCTGTAGGCCTGTATCTCACCTGATGGTAAGTGATGATCAGGCCGAAGGTGGAAGCGAGCGTCACCCGGAATCCTCAACCACGGAGGAACTGGCTATCTTACCTCTAACTGCCGGAACACAACAATGCTGTTAACATTGTTGTTATGGCGACAGACTTAGGTAAGATGGTGGTAGCTAGCCAGGCGGACTTAGAACAAGCCCTACCACCAACTAAACCGAACAGAAAATCTGCCCCCACTGGGAATCGAACCCGGGACCTCTGCGTCTGAAGCAGGTGGTCTTACCACTAGACCACAGAGGCGGTAATTTCACGTTTTAAAAGCTCCCGTGTTGCTCCCATACCTTAGGTACTGCCTGAGTTAAGTGCTAAACCTATAGCTATAGCTACCGACTATTTATATAACCTCTATCTAGCAGCAGACTATCCATCAAACAAAGAGTTTAATTAACAAAAATGGTGGAAAAATTTCAAGTCAAAAATAGCTTGATCCAATTATTTTTGTCTAGACTAATTCGTTTAAATTAAAACGAATTCAACGCAAACACATTACTTACTCCTTTTTTGTTGGGTAAACATTTGAAAGAGTACTTTAAACCTTTTACTTTTATCTGATTTAAAATATTCTAAGAAAATTTCTTGGAACTGTTGACAGATCAGGTTTCTTTGATTTAAATTAAAGGTCCTTTCAAGTCAAGCCACATAAAATATAGCCACACGATTCTGAAACGTAAAGTGGCAAAAATCAAAAACAACAGCATCCAAGTGCGACCCACAATCTAACACTGGATCGTCAGTCCACCGAGTGGGAGACTTACTCTACGTTCCACAGTTGCCACTCGAGAACTTTTCTGCCTTTACGAGGTATGTTCCTTTTAGGATGCAAGAAAATTTTCTTTTATGAGGAACAAGGCAGGTATTTGACCGCAATTGCACCTGATGTTAAGTGGGATAATATGCACTCTGGGATGGTACATACTTATTTATTTATTTAATGAGCAACATAATAAGCTTACAGAAAACCCAAAGCGCTTACATGTTTAGTCACCACATCGATTACTATTACATTATATTATATACGATTCTTGCCCTGTAAGAGCCTATTCACTCTCGCATTAAAAAGGCCCCAATTAATAGTGTTCGAGAAAGAAAGAAAGAAGTTTTACCTGATAAAACGTCACCAGCATTATTCCCACTTTTCCCGCCTCCAAACATGGCTCCCAAGTTCTTTGCGTTGTCCCCCTGCATCAAATTCCCCACTATGCTCCCAAGCGCTGCCAGTCCGTTCCCATTCCCATTCCCATTGTCCCCCATATTTTGGAGAAACGACGTCGCAAGATCCAAGAAGGGGTTCTCATCGTCACTCCTCCCCCCCAAAATGGGGAGTGTCAGAACTTGACACACTACTATAAGCAGGCTGAAACGCGCCATATTGTACCTGGAAAAGAAAAACGCTGAATAAATAAATAAATAAATGCATGGTTTACGGTTATGGCGGTTTTATGGTGCTGTCGCAATACTCGTACAGTGGTTTTATTTTGTCGACGTTACTTTGGTATTTGATTGACCATTTTATTGTGTTACTGTGTTGCCAGGTGGCTCTATGAATTTTCCCCTATTTCCATAATAGAAAAGATCAGGTTTATAAAGAACAAAATCCAAAAAAAAACACTCTTCTCAACCAAAAGATGTCTATTACTGGACTAAAACTTCCCTCAAGGATTTTTACAACAGGTCCTGCGCTTTTAGTAAGAGTTTATGAGTTACAGTTTTATTATGCTTCAACCACACCAACGCGTGCAGATCGCCATCGCCGGCGCGGTCATAGGGAAATGACAGGTCGCGTGAACTGTCATGGATGGGTTGAGCAACCTGTCATTGGAATGGGGATGTTGCCTGGGTCAAAAAGCAAGAGTTTTAATTAGTCCGTCAGTTAACTTATCAAAAAATACTCTACACGTATTTTTCACTTTTTCAAACTAATGAAAATTTAAAGAGATAAAGCGCCCCAAAGTTCATAAGAAGAGGCCCGTGACGTCAACGNGTCCGTCAGTTAACTTATCAAAAAATACTCTACACGTATTTTTCACTTTTTCAAACTAATGAAAATTTAAAGAGATAAAGCGCCCCAAAGTTCATAAGAAGAGGCCCGTGACGTTAACGCTTGCTTAAAAATGCCGCACGTTGTGACGTCGTGCGCAACTTCAACGCACCATAACTATGTAATTATTTGTTAGATTGACAAATAAAAATATACGTGTCCAATATTTTTTGATATTAAACATTACGGACTAAAAAAATTTTTTTAGGCAACTAGCCTATTTGATGGCGATCTGCACGCGTTGGTGTGGTTGAAGCTTTACAGTATAATTGTGAAATTTTTAGGACTATTCTAATATCGTAGACTCTGAAATTTAACAAAAACCTAAAACTATAACGCTTTCATGTTCTCCCCTGATAGTTCCCCAATAGATCCCACCCCCCCTCAAATATCCCATCGGTAAAAAAAGTCCCAAATTCGGAGCAAATTCCCCTAACCTGGTATCACCCTGTGCACCTGCTAGTGGTGTTTATAGTCGTACACTTCTCGCATCAGTGTGTACCATAAACTCGTGTGGCGTATAAAATAGCCTGTTCCCGGCCCGCGCATTCTGATTTATTACACAAAACTACTTCGCAATCCACATTTTGTATAGTTTCAGTTTCAAAGTGGATATAATAAGCAGTAGTAGGTAGTGGTAGGTGGTAGGGCTTGTTCTATGTCCGCGTGGCTAGCTACCACCATCTTACCTAAGTCTGTCGCCATAACAACAATGTTAACAGCATTGTGTTCCGGCAGTTAGAGGTAAGATAGCCAGTTCCTCTGTGGTTGAGGATTCCGGGTGAAGCTCGCTTCCACCTTCGGCCTGATCGTCACTTACCATCAGGTGAGATAGGTACAGGCCAAGAGCTTCCTCGTTGTGGATAAAAAAAAAGTTTCAAATGCAGGTATAATTTTCGGTAATTAAAAAGAATCAAAACATTTAACCCATCTTGCTAACTTTTTGCCCCGAAGCAGTGGTAAAATGCAAAAGGGACGAGTAAAACAACTTTTTAGTACCAAATAAATACTTTTTCTTTCTTTCCAAAAGTGCTCTTAAAAAGTGAACTTACAGAAACGTAAAAAATATAATAACTCTTGTCCATCCAAACCATGAAAATTAGTGATAGATAAAGCTTGCGATCTAAGCACTGCTTTCAATGACATTACGAATGCCTTACCTATGCTATGTCTATTCTACCAGACGTTTATGACTCTACAATTCTACAAAGTAAATTGTTCATTCTGCTCATCATCACACTAACTTGTGATTCAAACCCGTAACCACTGTAATGTTCCACGATCAGCTTGTCTATCAGAAAGAAGAAAGTCACTCTTGCACTTTTCCTTCGCTTGACGCCATCCTGTATTTTATTCAAAATATCCCCGCCCACTATACACTCGACTCATTTGCCCCCACGGCGCAATTAGCGGGGCAATAAAGACGAGCTTTAGTTTGTTAACTACACACAACATTACCCCACGTTGTGGTATAAAATAACAGATTAGTGTGGCCATGATGATATCAAGTATGGAATAGTGGCGTAAAGTAATCTGGAATCTTTTTTATGCAAACTTTTTACTTTTTGGTTAGGTAATTAACATAAATTATCCTGCTTTCGCCTCCGAGATTTATTTTACCATGTAGTACCCCTATACGACAACCCAATCCGCACACAATATTCAGCGTAGTAGTATTAAAAAACAAAAGAGCGGGCATCCCCACCCCTACCACGCTGTGGGCTCGGTGTCCGAGCGGTCTCATTCCTTTGTGCGCACGCGCAACGACCGCACGCAGTATAAGAAAAATGCTTAAGTGACGTCACCAGGACGTTTTTACCGACAAAAAACGTAATTATTTTAAGTTGTGCAGTGTAGTGACGAGAATTAGACCCAACAATGATCAAACGAACTTACCAAGTGAAGTTCGATCTAAATTATCCTGTTTTCGCCGAAGAGATTTAAGGTCCCTCCCAACCCGAAGATTTCTATATCTTCTTCCCTGGAGGTAAACGTCAATGTCATCTCTTCTCTAAATATAATGAGACCGCTCGGACACCGAGCCCACAGCGTGGTAGGGGTGGGGTTGCCCGCTCTTTTGTTTTTTAATACTACTACGCTGAATATTGTGTGCGGATTGGGTTGTCGTATAGGGGTACTACATGGTAAAATAAATCTCTTCGGCGAAAACAGGATAATTTAGATCGAACTTCACTTGGTAAGTTCGTTTGATCATTCAAAAATAAAGTTAATAAATATACCATACGTGATAGACTATAACATACTAAACTAATGAAAAACAACTTACCTAAGCTAAGTAGCACCATCAATTATTAACTGTTAATAATCTTTCGAAGGCTTGGTTAAAAACCATTTAATGTCAAAAAATTTAAAAAAACAAGCTCATTTAAGTGAAAACAAGATTGATCTTTTTTTAAATTTAATGGAATCGTTAACGAATCATTAACGCAGGGACTATACGGCGCCAATTTTTTGTAACCATTGGATACTCGTATAAATATTTATAGATAATAATAAACTTTACACTTCACTGATGATGGTGATTGGTAACGTATTAAAAATCAACGGTCGATTATTGAATTGTTTAATTTTTGCTCCATCAGCAAGGAATTAATGTGAAAGCATGCAAGACGTAGGCAGGTACGCGTATAGCTACCGTAACGTATGGTAGTTTTACAAGGTTTTGTAGACTGTTATGACTAAGAAGTAACTAGCCTAAAGATCTTTAGTTTTAATTAGCTCAGAAAAGTATTCTATTGATTTATGGCACAGCTAGTAAATTGGCCAGTAAAATTAAAAACAAAACAACAGACAATATGAACTCACCGAAATCGCATTCGCATCGAAACCAACCAGAATTTACAAAAATATTTAGTCACATTTTGAGGCCGTATGGCTAAACGCCTTGGCCACTTGCCTGACCACTAAGAATTTTTAAATATTTCTTTTTAATCGTCAAAATGTCATTTAATTTGTTTTTAAAGGGGATTTTTTTCGCATTGCACTGTCACATCGATTTTCACTTGTTTTCTTACGGTACTTTTTTCGCGCTGCTCTGTCACGACGACGCAATAGTTTTTAAATAATTAGGTATTACAGTAATATTCATATAAATAAAACCATTATAAGCATAAAATATAAATAAACTTCCACTGTTTCCCTTATGGGGTTTTTAAGGGTGCCATTCTTCACATTTATGGTATGATGGCCCTGCAATGGGCACCATAGAATAGGTTATAATGAATATTTTATGCAAATCTAACGTTTAATATCCATATTTTAGAATAATGGATGAATTTAGAATTAAAATAATATTATTTGAACGTTTTGCGTAAACTCTTTTATAAACTGTAACGAAAAATATGTATTATAGCACTCTTCAGTAATGCAATTTAAATAATTCCTCACATCAAGCTATTTTTCAGTAAAAAAATATACAGGGTGTCCCAAAATTAGCACGTCACTCTGACATTGGAGGTAGCTGGGCCTAAGACGCATCGAACAAGCCTAAATGTCAATGGAAAAGTTTCATAAGTTTTGAGATTTAGTTATTAATGTCCATAGAAAAGTTTGACGACTTTTGAAATATTTAGATTTAAAATGAACTCAAAAAAATAAACCTCTAGTGTCAGTGTGACGTACAAATTTTGGGACACCTGTATAATTCGATGTACTCTCTGTATCTTACTTATTGCTTCTATCTCAAAGAATATATTATCTGTAAGTTATCTTATTTTAATATAAGAAAGTAGGAGTCCCTTATCATTCCTGTCACGTTGCAAACATCTTGTAAAATAAAACTCAAGTGGCTCCGCGTCTTGGATTTTATAAAGTCTTATTTGTCTCTGGAACAAATACTGAATAATACGCAAAGTAATTCAGGCATACTAGCGGTTGATCATGACTTTGTCTGGATCATGGATTTGATAGACATTCCAAAGCCATTAAATAAATCTTTGGACATTGCCAGCTAGCCCCAAAGTAAGCAACTTATATGCTTGTGTTATGAGTGCTAGCTAACGGATATACTACTTATAATACTTTTTTTTAAATACACATATTACATAGTAACACCTAGACCCGTCACAGAAATTAAAATTCATCATTTCAATTTTTGCCCGGCCGGGAATCGAACCCGGTACCTCTCTGCATAGTAGTCCGTTCTGAACCATTACACCAAACGTCACTCACATACCTCAGGCACTGACTGATGAGTTAAGCGCTTTACTAAAGCGTAGATAATACATAGTAGCTAAAGCCTGGTCCGTGAGCACGTAGAATTTTGTCCAATGACCCTAAGCTACCCATCCTTATCGCTCGCGCGTATTTATATTGCT